GCGGGGCAGGAGTCGGCCAAACGTGCGCTGGGGGCCTAAGCCAAAGGTGCCGGGAAGGGTGTGCAGGCCGGGGTGACAGGTTCCAGAGGCTCGGGTCTAAGCATTGCAGTGTTTCTCCCTCCGGTGTCCCGGGCGCCTCCCCGCCTAGGCGTCAGCTAGGCAGGGGTCGGCGGATTTGATAGGCGAAGAGTGTTTTTTACACCAGTGGTGGGGTCGGCTGACTGAATTAAGCCACATATAGCCACATGATGGGGGCTGAGTGTTCAACTAAATGGATCAATTGTGGGCCGTGCTTGAGGTACACTACCAACCATGGCTATGTTGTTCCTCCTTCTTCCATGTCGCACAGGATAAAACTAAGAGCAATGCCCGCGGTTTCACAATTAAGGAAGGAGAGTGGCAATACATTTTCAAGCTGCTTGGACAGCGTGAGATTTTCTCGTACCATGTCGCACCTGCAACACACTGGATTCATGATGTAGGTTTCGAACTAGAAACCTGCATCAGTTTGGGTGAGTCCCTCCCATTACCTTCATTGTGTTGAATGAAGACCTGAATTGGAGATGCCAAACCTCCTGAAAAAGCGACGTAGAGTCTGCCAAAAGGATGAGGGACCCGACTCTTCACGATGACATCACTCTTCCAAGACCTCAGAATGACGGTATCAGAGCATGCAAACCATGGGAAGGAGCACAAAAAGAGACCCCGAAAAAATGAGCAGAATCCCCAGAATCCCCAGAAAAAGAAAAAAAGAAAACATGTGTTCGAACCAAGAACCAAGTTCGAACTGCGACCGGTCTTCTGAACCGGAGTCTGTGACCGGATCGGTTGCGACCCCAGCAGACGCTCATCCATGCCATGGCGAATCCAGGGCCGTGGTGACGAACCCCAGCGACCGGAAGGGGAAGAAGTTGACGGTGAATTTCACCAAGTGCCGCTGCGGCTGAAACCAGCGGCACCAGCGGCACCGGGGAAACGACGACGCGAATGACGCCGCGTTCCGCGATTGACGCTGCGTAGACCCGCCCGCGGCAGACTTGGTGAGGAAAAGCCCTGGTCCGAAGGTGAAACATGGTGAAACATGGTGACATGGTGAGCTAGAGGGCCCTGTAGCTCCGCAGTTCTGAACTCGAAAGAGTTTATTTCCGCAAGATGGTTTTGTCGATCAGTGACAGGTGTGTCCATGCTGCTGGACATATCGTTTATGTTTGTGTATTTGCTTCAATTTGTTTCAAGTGTGTAGTTTGAAGAACGATACTTGCAAAGGTTTTAGAAGACCGGTCGCAGTAGTTCAATTTGTGTATCGCACCATTATATACTACAGAAATGTCTTTCAAAGTGCTCCCTGCCAGCAAATGTCACACAGAATCGTGCCGAAGGTCAGAACATGGACTTCCTAGAGGGCAACCCCTGGGAAGTCATTTTGAAGCCAGGCAGCCGTGGGGTTGGTGTTTGGGTGGTTCAGTTGGGTTCTTTGGCTGACTTCAATGAGAAAAAAGAAAGAACCTTGTTTCAATGAAGCCAATGTTACTAAGCAATTGCGTGCTTTTTCTGTGTTTTGTCCCACTCTGGCAGGGGAGCAAGTGACGAAGGTCGTCATGAAATTGGCCCAAAGGCTCACGACGAGCCATGATTTTGCCTTCGTGCAAAGAGGGCGGGAGGTTTCTGAGAAAGGGGCCTATGGAGATCAGTACTGTAGTGAATGTACTTTTAATTGTTCAAAGCAGATTGGATGTCGCAGAATTGCGCTCCCTTCTGCTTCAATAGCAGCTTGACTTAGGTCTCACTTGGGAAAATGAAAAGACACTATGGTGAGGTTCATGCAAACCAATATTCCAAGAAATCCTGCATTGGACCCAAGAGTTGGAGATCATGCCACGCACAGACAGATCGCACCGATTTTCCCAGCTCTGCCGAGATCTTCTCGGCCAGGAAGCCCTGGCGCTACAACTACCGCTCGTCCTCACGTTCCCATTTCACCGGCATCGAGGACGATTTGACCGATGCCTTTGTCGACGCTGAGTTCCCGCATGAAACGGCCAGTATTGGCAGCTCGGCGGGTGGAACAAATAAGATAAATAAGCATGTCAAGCTCGGTGCTGCTTTCGCGCTGCCCCTCATACAAATACAGTACATGCTTTGTTCCACTTCCATGATTGGATTAGTGATGGAAGGTGCTCATGAATACATATGAATACCATTCCTTCAATCAATCACTGATTCCTTTTCAGGCAGTCGTGAAGCTCGCTTGCTGCGAACAGATTGAACAGACTGATCCTTCTCTCGTTTCACTCGTGCCTCTTGTGCCCCAACTCGTTTGGTCCAGCCAGGTTGACGTTGATTGCCACTCTAACTTTAAGGTTGAAAGTGCATAAAGAATCATAAACAAACATATGTAGGTCCGTAATAGCAGAAAAAAGTTGGACCATCGTACCTCATGTGCGGTCCTCTTGTTAATCACCTTGGAAATAATCATGCATGTGTTTGATTCTTCACTCGTTCTGGTCGTGGAATGTGTGTTTTTCTTCTGTTTTTTAACGTTTGATGCCATGGGCAGTCAGTGCAGTCCATTTCCGGTCATTGTACTGCCATTGGCGGCGTCTTGTTTGTCTCCTTTAATTTGGAATCTGCACAGACAAGCACTAGCTAGCAGCACGTCTGCAGACGATGGTAATCTAGATTCTTGGTGTCCTTTGCTGAGGCGAATCATCCACCAGCTTCAAATGTGGGACTGCAGATACTTGGGTTCGAGCGCGGATGCTGGGAGACCCTGCAGAGTGTTGTCTCTTTGAGGAGGTTCGACCACAAGACGCTCGATTGCAGCTCGCACCCGCGGGGCCCGCACGCCCCGGTCACCAAACAAACGGCTTTTTCTTCGGTGCTCGGATGTTTGTGATGCTTGTGAGGGGGTGGCCATCTCAGGATGTGAAGCAAGGAAGCCTGGGAGATTGCTGGCTCATGAGCGCCTTGAGCTGTTTGGCTGACCACCCACAGAAGCTGAAGAGTCTTTTCTCCACGAAGCACATCACCAAGGAGGGGGGCCAAGGTCTTGCTCCAAGGGCAGCCAATAGGATCCAGGCAAGGTAGAAGCCTCACGGGAGATGTTGCCAGCAGCATGCTAAAAGTGGATCCACGCGGCTTCTTGCGGCACCTTGTACATGAAAGAAGGTTGTTTGGCCAAAACTGTTCTTCACGGATCCTAGCAGTTGGTGTGACGTCATTCTCATGATATCTCATGATGCTTTACCCGCGAGGATGGCAAGTATGACGTGTATTTGTGGGATCTTGAGAAAGAGGAGTGCCTGGTCTCAAAAAGCAGTGCTGTTGCCTTAGGCCCATGTCTTCCTTCACAAAAGCCCATGCGGCAACTGCTCCCAAACTCTGCGGAACACCGTCAAGGAAAGTGAAGTTGCTGTTGCCACAGATGAGTACCCCACACAGGGCACATGTCATTGCTTCACATTGTTGCATACATGTATATATATATATATTTTTTATAAGGCAGGTAGGGTAAACTCCGGACAAGATTCCAAATATATCGACAAGAACTTGAATATCCCAACTTGTTTTGGGTGTTCTCACGCAGTGTGACGGCACCTGGCGCATCAGTGCCCTTTGCCAAGTAAGCCGTAGCCATCCGCATTGCGCCAGGTCACTTTGCTCACGCGTTGAATGCAAAACGATGTTGGTCGGTCCAGTTGGACGGTAACATGTTTTTCCATGGAAAAAGACTGCAAAGTACAAGCTTCCCATCTGAGGAGTCACGGTTGGTCCGTTTCGGAGCTCACCGACAACTCTCCAGATTTGGATGTTTTTTTTCTGTGCAGACTGCATGAAGTGCTGAAGTGGTCCACTTCCAGGTGAAGCGGTGCATTTTCATGCTTTTTAATCCGTGGTGTCAGTGAAGTGGTCGCAAATGATGCCACGGTCCAGGCGGTTTTCTTGTCGTGCATGGCATGTGTCAACCGGAGAAGGCTGTCTTGAGATGTGACCTGCGATGAATCAGGGAATGCGCACCAGTTTTAAAGTCTTGGCGTTTTTCGTTGGTGCTGGTGGAATGGAGCATGGTACGTTCCTACCGGTGGTGCCGATGTGGCGTCTCCGGCGCTTTTTTTTGTCGTGTTTTGGGAGGCCACGAAGGAGCACGCTTGTTCATTCAGTCCTCTTTTACCAGCTGACTTTCCCGTTTTGCTGCGCACACGCACTTGGGAAATTGGCACCTGCCGGCCAAACGCGGCTGCACCCTTCGACGAACCCTAGGTGAAAAAAAAGGGGCTGAGGAGGAAATGCAGGTGTTCGAACCTTCTGAAATAAGCAAAACATACCAAAATTACATAAAAATACCACGTCTCAGGCGGAAAGCGATGCGAGACTGCTGAAAGCAAACGGATGCAATGACTGTCCTTTTGTTCTGGCTACCACGCTACCAAAGGAGGAGATTGAAGTCAGAACAAAGTAGGTACACAGCTGCTGAGGCTTTGCTTGCAGGACAAGCAATAGCTTCGTTGGGTGCAGACTGCGCCCTCTACCAAATTCCGAAGACAACCTATGACTCCAAGGTGCACACACAAGGAAATTTCTAGAGCTTGCAGGATGCTTGAGCCCTCACTTGTTACACAGGCTTGCTAGTTGACCATCCACCCGAGGCCCTCGGCGAGTGAACCATTCGCCGAATTTGCTGAGCTCTTCTAAGAGCCAGAGTCAGTATGGCCATGTGTCCTTCTACTCCTTGCTCCCATTGTCACACATGTCCTTGCAAGAAGCTACTAGGTTGGAGGCCATCGCTAGTAGGTTGGAGGCCAGGACGCTACTAGCAGCAAGGACGCTACTAGCAACACGTTCTAAAGCCAATCGTCTCCCAAACCTCGGGAGGTTCATTCGGTTTCCCCGAGGTGGGTGGCAGTGACCATTGACGAGTTCCTGCCATGCAACATCAGTTGTGGACAGCCGATGCCAGCGTTTGCGAAACCTCTTGGTGAAGAGATTTGGGTCCCCTTGCTGGAGCTCCTTGGAGTGAGGAAGGTGTGGACGGACAGCTAAGAAACAGGTCAGAGAAGGTGGCACCACAAGACAAGGTTGCCGTGACAACAGTTGAAGAAACCACTGGCGGTTAAGTTGGGCTTCTGAGACCTTTTGGCCAATGATGCCTAATGATGCCTATATGCATGGCCTTTGATCCTACAATTGGTTTCTCCTGCCTGGTAGATGCAGACAAACCGGGCACTTCCAAGTGGGGCCAGGCCCGATGTGCTGATAGCTCTGATAGCTCCTCAGGAAAGCCTTCGCCAAGTTCTGCGGAACTTATGGCACACTTTCAGGTGGAGGAGTGGCTTGGGCTTTTCAGGCCGGGCCTCGGGATGATGACTCATTGAGATGGGGTCCTGAGGGTTGGCGTCCGTACGTCCACAGATCGGAGTGTTGTTTGGGCTGATGTGGTCGGAGTGAAGATGTGTTTGAATGGCGAAGCAGTGCACAGGCCCTGCCAGGGAGAGAGTTCACTGATCCAGATCTAAAGCTTAATCTTACACCCCTTCCGCAATTAAGAATGAAATACCAAGATTCTTCCGCAAAAAGAGCATGTGGAGCGAGTCCAAGAAGCCCGAGCCTCGCCAACACAATTTAGAGGAAACATAACTAGAAACTCAATAAGATGTTTCCCCATTGGAGGCCAACCGCACTCCAGGTGCTCACAGGGAAGTCGGATGTGGTCTCGTACACGCGGCAAAAGGACACGACGTGGCGGCGCCGCCACACACACCGGAAGAATCAGCTGAAGCGAGGAGCTGGTTGGAATCTGGGTGGAGTGGAACAGGATGAACACCTCTTTGATTGCCGTGCCTCTTTGACTAGGACTAGGATGGTTGTAGCGAATTCACATGGCTAAACAACCTGACGGAAGTCCGCTGACCAGATGCATGCAAGGTCGCCAAATAACAAATCCCTTTTGCATGTCGCCCTTCACAAGTCAAAATAAGATCATTCTGGTTTGCACCTACCATGCCACAAGAGAGTGCACATCAACAGCATATGGCAGTGGGTCAAAACCGAGAACCGAATCCTGGTAGTTTGACCATTTTTGGTAACTCATTCTGTTCATTATCGTTCTGCTGGTGGTGGTGGTGGTGGTGGTGTGGTGCTTTTCGGTTTTGTTCTGTCGCTTTCTGTCTCCTGTTTTTACATGTTTTTACATGTCGGATCTCAGCGAAAGGGTGTGCATGTTCATATCTTCATAGATCTTACATGCTACCACCCCGCTACCCGGCACCCCTGAAAGGGAAGGTCCGTCAGGTGGCGCTGGATGAGTTTGCGCAAGTATTTTCCCTCAGTGGTCAACCACCCGGGTCGCTAGTGCCATACCCTAGGCTCCAACTACCTTCTGAGAAGATGGTTATGGTGGGTGCCAGGTAGCCACCTTCGGAGGATATGGTTGGAGCATGTTGGAGCCCTATCAGCATAGACTCCGATGTGCCAAGTAGCCCAACATGGCACCTCTCGACAGTCCAGATGGCACATCCAGCACCCCTTCAGGAGCTCGGAACCCTCGAGCCTCCAGTTGGACGTGGAAAAGTAAAGCTCCCACCATCGACAAGGAGAAGCTCTTTGGAGTGCTACAAGGCGAATCCCCCCGGACGGGTGGACCACGGAGGTGTGAAGAAGGAATGAGAATGGAAGATGTCTTGAGGAGACTCCCAGAAGTCACAAGAAATCGCAGGCAAGAACGCAGGCAAGAAGGGTTCATCTGACTCCTGTGAGGATGCATGATCGAAAACCATGAACTTGATTCAAGGACTGCCTCAGTATCGAGAAGTCAGGTCTTGTTTAGATTTGCGCGACCTGCCAGCTGGTGATGCCAAGATGCTCCTTGTTGCTCCTGGAGTGGGAAAGAAGTCAAGTGTTGCTGTGGGGTAACGACCACGATTTTCACAGGAGACGGTTCTGAGACAATAGCTTTAAAAGGAGCCTTAGCCAACAGGTTCTTCTAATCTGGGACTGCAGCACCCCGCCTCCGCCAAGATGCACCAGACTCGGGCGATGTTGGATGCATTTGGGCAACGAATGTGTGGATATATATATATACTCCTAGGATCTCAAACTCAGATACCTTCGACCCTGCTACTGCAAGAGCTCTTTTGGAAAGCCTCCTTCAAACCAGCCGCAGGCCACTGCGCAGACAAGCACGTGCTGGGCTGCAGCATTGCTGGAAATTCGAGCGGTGCTGAGGAGGCAAAGGGCAATGGTTTGTACACCAAGCATGTGCTTCAGATGATGATTTAGATGGGACTGGGATATGGCTGTACAAGGCATACTGTTTCCATTATACTGCACCTACGAGTGTAATCTTGGACTTGACTGTCATTGCCTGCTAAGTGCTACCCATCAAGAGAAAACAACACTTCTAGAAGCAGCATGCTAAAGGGGTTAGAACATTTGGTTGCAGGAGCTGCCCAACTCTGGACTGGCACCAACGAGAGTTTTGCAGGCATGATGCATATACTAACTTACTAACTATGCAGATATTAGTATGTATATGTATATATATATTAGATAATATTAATGTAGAATAGCACTCAGGACTCAGGACACCGAGCAGTCCAAGACAAACCTTGAAAAAGTGTGTGTTGCTCTCATAGTAGGAAGGGGCGACGCGTAAGACCAAATGTGAGCATACTACCACTTGGCTGAGTTCACAACCTGCAGTCAATGAGAGTGATTGAAGCTGTTCCAGTTGGACCCTGTTACAAATTGCAAGGAAGCCATGTATGCTGAAACATCCTGTGACGGTTGCGACTACTTCGGTGGAGAAGGATCATCCGATACAGCTCAACAAGATTGTTTAGAGCAACAATAGTAATGGCCTCCAACCTACTACAATGGCCTCCAACCTCCTACTAGCAATGGCCTCCAACCTGATGGGGCTGTCATCCGAGAAACTCAGCCGATGTGCGGACGGATTCGCCCTAGGTCTATTCCTTATTGAAGGTCCTGCGCCTCGGTTTGGGAGGATGTCGCATCCGACCGGTTTGGAGTGCCCGAAACGAAGGACTTCTTAGTCAGATCGAGACAACGTGGTCCGCTTGCAGCCGATCAGGCTTCTTGAGGCTCTTTGAGTAGGCTCCTGGCACTCAATCGAAAAAGACGCGCACAGTGAACTGAGGGATGAGCAGACGGATGATGGCACGCCGGTGAAGCTGGTGAAGTTGCGAAATCCCTGGGGCTACAAGGTTGGAAGATTGGTTTTCTTGCTTGGTTGGTTGGTTGGTAGGTGGGTTGGTAGGTGGGTGGGTAGGTGGGTTGGTTGTGGTTGGTTGATGTTGGTTGTGGCTGGTTGTGGTTGGTTGTGGTTGGTTGGTGTTGGTTGGTGTTGGTTGGGGCTGGTTGGTTTTGGTTGGTGTTGGATGGTGTTGGATGGTGTTGGTTGGTTGGTGGGTGGTTTTAGAGAGAGAGAGAGAAGGCTGGGTCCACAGTCGTTGAGCTTACCGATACGTTCTATGGCGGACTACGCCTCGATGAAACATGCCAGCAGCTCTTACCTTCGGAGCAGTGCATCTCTCCCCAAAATGGTGAAACATCGCTTGGCTTGTTTCCTCATGTTTCCTCATGGTTTCTTCCAAATGCCCTACCATGCCCTGCCCACTTGCTTTCCGTTTGTTCGCACCAAGCGCGCGACTGTTCAGTGTCGACCATTCCGTTCGCACGCCTGTTCGACAGCAATGCTTCCAGGAGTGGAAGGGCGATTGGGCCGATCAATGCGATGGGGAGGAGAGCAAGTGGAAGGACGTGCAGTTCCGACCCGATCCGATCCACCGACAGCCGCAGACGGAAAACCGGGTTGAGTGGATGATAGGCATGTGGGCCACGCATGTGGGCCACGCATGGTTTGGTGCGTGTGTTTTCGAGGCATTCAGATGTTAAGTATTGTTACAAGGCATGTTAAGTCTTCCTCGAAGACCTGGATAGCCAACCTACCCTTCCTGGCACCAAAAGCCTAACAAGCATGGCCCGGGCTAGACATGTGCGAGTTACTTTGTTGAGCAGTTTGCCTCAATTTCTGTGATCTTGCGCTTGTGAGGAGAACCCCCAGCTGGCAGAGCGGCTGTCGAACACCAAAAAGCAACTTGGCCTCAGGTGAGGACAACTGTTTGTTGAGTTTGTTGCCTTGTTGCACGAGTTCTTATATACAAAACATTCCGACCATGGTTCTTCCACAAGACTTGAAGCATTTTGAAGCTAACAAGCAAAAGAAACTCCAGGGTTTGTGCGTGAAAAAACGTGTACAAAAAAGCATCTTCAAACCAGCTGATTCCAGCCTGATTCCAGCCTGAATGAGCCAATGCTTCCAAACCCTGTGTGTTTTTCTTCAGGAATGATGGATGCTTTTTCATGTCCTTCGACGACTGGGCGGCTGCCTTCACCTGCGTGAGCCTTTGTCCCGTGGGCGTGGCGCCCGTGCCGCCCGCGGAGGAAGATCCAGAAGATGAGGATGTGGCGGAGGATGGCAAGTCCGATTCGGAGGAGGACCCACGATTCGATGGGCCACGTCCGAACAACCGAGCCAATTCACCTGCGATGTGACGTTTTTGAGACAGTGAACGAGCACATTCGTTGGAACGGCCCTTTCAAGTCCATCCGCTCAAATCGTTCCACAGAGATGGAGAAGTTGGGACCCCCCTTGAAGTTTGGGTGTTTGCATGGTGAAGATGCATGGTTTTTGGTTTTTGTTCGCTTCAGTCTCTCCCCGCCTTGCCTTAGGAGACTGGGCCAAAACCCAACAGAAGAACCCCAAAGACCTCGACCGGTCAAATCCCACTCCCAGGAGTTCATTGAAGACGAGCCGCCGGCACCTAAGCCCGTGCAATTTTAAGCCTCCTTTTCACAGCTTGTGATCAGTCTTGTGATCACTTTGGTTTGAGAAGGGGTGGGGAAAGAGACATGCTGAATGCTTGAACCAACCCATAAAGTGGGAGAGCTCAACCAATTGTCAGGTTGGTGTTTGATGTGTTTTGAATGAAACGCATCTCCAAGTTCCCCTTCTTCCATCCACGGCAGGATGGCGAGTCCTCACAGCATGGCAGGTTAAGACCCTCTCATGGGGAACCAGCAACGAGAAATCGACGAGAAAGAACGGGACAAGGGGACGCAGCTCATGACCATTAAGGATGCAGCTGCATGGGGAACCATCAAAAACCATGACCATAGGTCCCATTTTGACCTATGGGACCATATTTAATGGTGCTCCTATGGTTTAATAGTGTTGACCTATGGGACCATATTGAACACCATAGGGTCATTCTTTGGTGAACTGCTGGTGATTCTTGCAGCTTCTCCCGCGTGGTGATTCCGACACAGGAGTCTCGACCCCATACTGTAGTTTCTTTGATGTTTCTTTGCTTCGTAACTGTGGATGTTTTTCACACACAGTAGGCATCAGACAGCCTTTGCACAAGCAAAAATGTCAACCCTACCTTGTATAAACGCTTGTTGAAGGTGGAGGAAGATCGTCAAGTGTCGAATATGTCTTGAACACTGGCAGCAGCAAAACCATGGAATAACCTTGAACAACTGAATCTGCGAGAAAATTTGCACGTGACCTTTGAGGGGTCAGGAAACCTGCGAAAGCTGAGGAACCAATCACGGTGTGTGTTTGCAGGCTTGCCAAACGGCAAGTCCTGTCGTTTCACTGACGATGGCCAGCCCATTGATGGCCAGCTGATTGTGAGGACATGTTGGCAGTTGACAACTGGATTCGTGATGATTCGTGATTAGTGTCGACAAAGGGGGTCTTTGCATCTTGAAGCGCTAGGACAAGGATGGAAAAGGACAAACTGCTCATATTTCAAGAAGGAGCGTGATGTGTTGTGTTTTGTTGCTCAATGACCCCCAAAAAACAAAACATCCAGGTGTCAGATTGTGAACGTGACCTGGCAAGGCTTGAAGCAAATGGCCTTGAAGCAAATGGCCGAAAGGGTCGGAAAAAGGGGTGGATGATGGTGGATGTTTCATGAATCTCACATCAGCATCACTTCGTGGATGTGCACTACGATTTTGCAAATTGAGAAGAGACTTTAGGATGGCGACTCTTCAAAGTAGTTGGACGAGGGCTTCCCTCTTGACATGCAGACGGATGCAGAAAGACGGTCCTTATGTTCGTTCCTTTTTGGTGTGTTTTTTTTTGGGGGGAAATCCGAATCCTCACGCATCTCAGACTTGATCGGTCTCATTGATCGGGTCCCGACTTGGGCGTCGCAATCGCTATGGGCCACGGGTATTGCAAGCGACGTGACCAGGTCCCTGGCAGGAGGGCGGCCGCAGTAGGCAGCGTAGCAAAGTAGCGGTGAGCTCCCAAGCTTCCATTGCCTCAGCTCCCAGGGTAGCCACCGACCATCCTAGCCGTTGTGGCGCTGAGGCCTTTCCACTGGCATGTGAACCTGCGGCCCCGGGTTGGCCCACTGCAGGGCTGCATTTTTCATTTGGCCACTGGGAACCTGGCATTACTACTAGGAACAAGATGCTACTAGGAGCAAAGGGCATCGCCACTAGGAGCAAGGACGCTACTAAGGGCTCCTGGCCTTACTTCTAGGAGCAAGAAGCTACTAGTAACAAAGGGCATTTGAGGTGATGGGTTCAGACATTTTGGCGTCCAATCTTTACCTGAGATGATTGAGCCCACTGACCAATACATACCAATACTATCCAATACTTTTAAAGTGGATTGAAACCATCAACCAGACATGAGAACCGTTGGAGGTGCTTGCTTTTCAACTGAAACCTCATTGGACAAGACGCATTTGAGGTCAAAATGACACATGAAGAGGTACTGTATATTCAGTGGTTTAGGCTGGCGGTTTGTGTATGTTTAGGTAGTCCCAAATCATAGTGCTTTGAGAACACCATAGACATTCTGTGGCAGTCATGACTTGCTTGCTCGAATCAGTGTCAAGTGTTGCAATGTTAACAGTTTATATAGCAGGAATGAAATCATCACCTGAGCCATACCTGTTATGATGTGGAAAACCCGGCTTTGCCACCCAACGAAGGCACACCAGGCACCATCTCCTCTCAGGTGATGGATCTACCGCGCGACTATCCCTTCAGTCCACCAAATGTGCGATTTCCGCATCAAATTTCGGCCTTCCGGCATCCCAATCTCTTCGGGAGCTGCGACGACAAGAATCGGCGGACTCCGCGAATTAATGCGTGTTTTTGGTACACAGTGGCACCAGTGAATACGCACAACTACTGTCAGGAGCATGATTTGCTTGGACATTTTGCAGAGCTATATTGGTATACATCATGACCGGAGTGGCTGGAGCACTGCCTACACCATCCAGACCGTGCTGCTGCAGTTGGCGTCCTTTCTTTTTGAGACGGACTGCACTCGGTTGGAGTGTCCTTAGGTCGAGTCGAGGAAGGCACAGCCGGGTTTGAAGGGTTTTGATGGCCCTTAGTAGATGCAGCGGCACAAAAAATGAAAGGTTTCAGATATCTCAGTCTTTCTGAGGTCTGACCATATTTCAAATAGCCGTGACCAAGACACCGAGGTTTTTCCTTAGGCCCTTCCTGTTGCACATAGTGGGCTGCACATCCTGCCAGGACCACGTGCCGCAGGACTATGGAGGAACCAAAAAGTCTCACATGACCCCCAAGATGGCAGAACAAGTCCGTGCCCAGTGTGAGAACTTGCACTGTCGGGAATGTGGCTTGCTTCAATTGTGCCTATAGTTCCAAGATGTTCCAAGTTCTCAAATTCTGAGACTAATCCCATGAAAGTCCCCAGCTCAGTCAGTCAATAACACCAGAGATACCACATCCCATGGAACACACAGTATTTTTCTCGCCGCTCTAACCGTCGATCCAGTGACTTTCAAATGATTTTCTGGAATGAATTTGCACACCAGAGATGCTTATTTGTAGTCTTAGCCTTAGCTCTTTGTGAAAAGTCACAGCAGTCACAGTCCTATTTGTTCAACAACTGCAAGTTCTAGCATTGGGATGGGCATAGTAAACGGGATGGCTTTTTGAACAAGTTCTGACCGATCCTGGTGGAGTGCCAGATCACACATCGACCGATGCCGCGTTCCAGATCACATGTTTCCCAGGTGGGCAACGTCATAAACCTCCATGAAAGAATTTAGGTAGGACTTCAGATTATGAATCTGTGCGAAAGGAAAACTGCAGTTGGGGAAAGCTTGGCGAAAGGTTTGGAGAAGGGCTCTGAATTTTTGATGAAAGGATTTTGTTGCGAAAGGGTTGGCGAGAGAGGTTTTCAGTACAAAGCATGTCATCCAAAGATTCCTGATAACCAGGGGAAAGGTTCGCGAAGATGTGGCGAAAGCAGTGGTTGCAGATTAGGAATGATTCCCCTTTGCATCCCTTTGCTGATATTTTTTGGATGTAAGTAGCAGAAACTCGGCGAAAGGGTTAGCGAAAGAGGTTGTTGGGTGAAGTGGGTCGGCGAAAGCAAAACATGCAGCCGCGAAAAAAGCGTTGCGAAGGGATTGGCGAAAGGATGCGAAAGGTATTTATAATCTTAAAAGTTCCGGATGGTTTTTGACACCGCTCAGGTGGTCATTGCTTCTCAAAACCTTGGCCTCCACTGCCGGACGCCGCACCGGAGCAGACCGCTGAGTTCGGCTGCGCAGCAAGCACCGTCCGACGTCCGACGTTTGAAGGGTTCTGCAAGTTGTGCGACGCCGTCGGCAAAAGTGTGTGCCCGTCTGCGTGTTCAAGAACTGGCAGGAAATGGGTTCATTTTCAGGTGCTCATAAACGAGACGTCTTGCGAGATGCTGCGCTTATTTACGCTGGATCATCGATTTCCAGATGTCTGCACGACACGATTCGCGTCCAGCGCGGACAGTTCTTCGCTCTCGCACGCGGAGAGAGCGGCAAAAAGCGTAGGCATGTGTTGCTTGAAGTTTGGGGTGCTGAAAGATCGTAGTCTGCAGGGTGAGAAGTTGGAAGCAAAAAGGGGTGGAACTAAGATCCTCAAGAGGAGATGACCAGGCATGAGCGCATGAGCCACAGGCTGTGGGTTTCACACCTTTACTCAGGCTGCAGAGATGAGAGCTGCACGCGTCCAGAAGTCGCTGGAGTAGCTGGGCCATCCATGCCGCTTGCTGGCCCGCTCTCGACAACCTCCGAGAAGGACCCCGTGGCCACTGTGACGCATTTGGTGCGCATGTCAGCTTTGACCAAAACGGAGAGGATTGGATTGTTTCAAAACGTTTCAATTGATCAGCTTGGCGGGTTAACTTGAGATGTCTGAGGTTGGTGACTTGGTCTCAGGCGTAGCGGTGAAAGACTGTGCCAAAGGCTTCATCCTCGAGTTGGCCAACCCACGCGGCCGCAGGGGCTGGCTGAGCCGGCGTGGGTTCGTCCTGGCGCAGCAGCAGGCAGTGACCATCACAGCCATAGGTTCTCAATGGTTCTTATGCGTCATTTGATGTCATTTGTTTCAAGCCGTTTTTGGGGCGCCTACAGTAAGGAGGTACAGTGCTGCTGCTGCTGCTGCTGCTGCTGCTGCTGCTGCTGCTGGACAACAACTTTGTGAGGAGATCTCGGCTTACGTCACCTCTGTGGACGAGAGGTGGCTGTGCTTGGAGCTGGTCCCAAGGCGCTCGCATGTTGAGCTGACAGAGCACATGGCTGCTGTGACCTGGCTAAGTTGGTGTGCCTTTCCTAACGCCACCCCAAAGAACATGGCCCACACCCATGCCCCACATTGCCCCCTCAAAGCTCTACCTTGTCCCAGCTACTTCTTTTGCTTGTGCCCTCACCCCAAACCCAAGTGTTCACGTTGACAAAGGCGACCCCTGTCACTGGCGTGATTGTTTCCATCAAGAGCTATGGCATGTTCGTGGACATCGGTGGCCCAGCACCTGGACTTGTTCACGTCTCCGAGATGGATGTGGACATGGATGCCTTTCAAGTCAAGAGTTTGGCGCTCCAACTGCGATGTTTCAGTGGTCATGTTTTGTATGCAATTGTGGGGTTTCAGGATCATGCAGTTGCCCAAATTGCAAGTGCGGCCCAGTTGGCCATTTTGCGTTCATACCCGCAGAACATCGTGGAACTATATACGTACTAAGAAACATCGCGTTTGTTGGCGTTTTCGCTACCAAAAGATCAAACGCAGAATTCGCATCATTTGGTCCACAAGGCAGCCTGTAGTTCATGCATTTGCTTTTCGGCAGGTTCATCCGTCTCCTTTCACTAAGGTGTTGGTTCGCATTTTGGAGGTGGACTCTCCAAAAGGCTTGCGGCTCACTGCCCGGAGTGGACCCTTTCCGCGTGTCCACCGAGCCTTAGGTCCGTGTATGCCGTTGCTGCCACCTCGCTTGTGTCTTGGCGGGCCGATGGCCGATGGCCGAGTCGACAGAGTGTTCGCTGCGTGTTTTCGGCCCAGACCAGGTGCGCTTGAGATCCATGAGCAAGCGTGCCTTTTCTTCTCAGGTACCAGGACCTGCCAGGCCCTGCCTCGGAGCTCCTCCTGCAGATGCTGCCCCTGGGAACCTTGAAGTCCTTGGCGCGGGTGAGCCGAGGATGGAGGCAGCCAGCGGAGGAGGCAATCTCCATCTACTTCGACTTGAGCCTTGGCTGACCAAGTAGTTATTTGGCATTGCCGGAATTGCTTGAATTGAAAGGATGGAGTATGATGATTTGGGTGCTGAATTTGAAGCGTCCTTTGCCCCGCGGAACCGGCCATCCGAACCGGTTCCGAACCGAACCCACCAGGGTGACGGGATCGAAGGACTCAGCTGCGGTGCTTCCACACGAAGGCAGCCTTCTACGAAGCTGACACACTACTAGGCCTCGGTGTGGCCATCACCGAGGAATCCACCGGCAAGCGGCACCTCACTTGTGACTGGGCCCAGTTGGGCGCGGAGACGGCCAGCAGTCTCAGCGTTCGTCCGATGTTCTGCCACGTTGTGGCAGTGCTTCGCAGTGGTTGGGGGTTGACCGCTCTTCACCTCAGGTGACTTTGACCCCTTGTCCGAAGAGGCCTTCTTCGAGCCCTGACAGCAGTGCATGTTCAGCTTTTGCTCCTCTAAGTGCTGAAAAGAAGTCGTGCCCATGGTCATCCATCACCGCGGAGGATGAAAAATCATGAAGCATCGAGTGACACCCTCGATTCTGTCGAGTTGTTTGATTTAAGTAGTATATCATGTGGATAAGGTGGCAACAATGCTTGAACCCCTGCACTGTGGCATTCCTGCTTGCCAGATCAGGATTTGCATGTGGACAAAGGAGTATGGAAGCAGACCATCAGCTATTGGTTGCTCGGCATCAGAATGAGGAAAGTCATGTTGTTTCTCTTCTAGTTGGGTTGCTGGTTCCACATCAGCAACGAGATTCAGATCTGTCCAGAAAACGGGCAGAACACGGTATCATCACGGTATCACAAACGCTCGCAGTTCATTTTGAGACCAAGCTTGTCCACCATGCCGGGTGCTGGTGAACATTTCAGACCCGGTTTCCGGGGCAACACACCTAGGATCCCCATGGCGATTTGCAAGAGTCACTTCGAGCGCGCTTTGGAGAGGCTCCTGGCTGCCGTCTCTCAACTGGGTACTGGCAAGGCGAGCGAGCGAACAAACACCAGCTCGGAAGGAGCAGTGAAACTGAGATGGAGCACATTGGGCTTGAAACTCCGCTAGCTTGGCATTTTACACATTTTTGTTTTTTCCTGTAGCCGACCTATTGGCTTAGGAGATTTGTGGAGAAACATGGGGGTAACCCTAGACACCTTCTCGGGAAGAGTAACATGGCAAAGCAAGTGGCTGACGCAGCATGATATGTTCGACACATCTGGTGTGAAGATGTGAACCGAGTCTCCTGCATCCACCCTGCGTCAGGTGGCCGAAATGACCAAGTCCCATGGCTTGGGATCCAGTGGGCGACAGTCTTTCAGTGGGGCTCCGAGCTGTCCCAAGGATCGGAGATCGGAGGTCCCAGAACCGATGAACTGACCTAATCGACCTCGTCATGGTTGGGTTGGGATATGTTGGGATGACTATGACCCCCCTTAGAGAAGTGGGACGGAGATCCATGAACTGACCGGAGGCCCATTTTACCTCATGGTTGGGATGAATATGACCTCTTTAGAGGAGTGTAGCCTTTCTCCTGCAGCTTGATCTTGAGGGATGTGCGATCATGTGATGTGAAGTGAAGGAAATATGGGAAAAGTTGTTTGGTCCCTGGTCTGCTTTTTGCCGCTTTTGACTCCAAAATTCCAGGACCAGCCTACCACAATGACCTTCCAGGAGTGGCAGGAGCAAAGAGCCGCACTGTTTGAGAGACAGAAGCAGCAACGTGCCTTGGCCTTGGGCCATCTTCCAATTCCCATGAACTTCCGCAGGGCCCCGGAACAGTATCAAAACCGTTTGCCGACCACCTCTGCTGTGTTTGTCGAATGCGATGCGAAACGTGCCTGCTCCAAGGAGAAGCTCGTGCACGACAGGGCTTGACTTTGGAAGAGTGGCAGAAAAGAGAGGCAAGAGTCAAGGCTGAGAGGGCCAAGGCGGCAGCAGCCAAAGTCAAAGCAGCGCTCCTGAAGGCTGAGGCAGAACCCTTGCAGGACGTCCTGCCCTTGGATCAGGTGGCTGCGATGGAGGTTTTGCCCAAGCTCATGAACTCACAGATCGTGTTGCTCATGCAGCTCAGTTCTACATCAGATGGTGGGGGCGTAAAGTTGTCGGATCGTGAGTTCAACTGGGATGAAAGGGTCGGCGATAAATAAGTACAAATGTGAAGAAAACAGAGTGTTTGATCGAGTAAGAACAAACTGGGGGGATCGCCTACCATTCTGCCTGAGATGAAAGAGTGTTGGAGTGTCGTTTTCACCCCTTCCAAACGAGGGCGGAAGATTATGTTTTTGGAGCCAGGGGCGTTTGGTATGGCTATGTTCAAGTGAAGCTTCTGCTGTTTTCAAGCACAAATCCAACCATGCCCAGCGAAGGAAAGGTGATGTGCATACCTCGGAGAAGGCCCTTGCTGGGTACATGGCCTTCCACCACACCTTGCTGTTGCTCAAGAGAAGCGCCTGTCCTTTAAGATGTTGTACTTTTGTTGTGGGAACCTAGATGTGTGCTGTTGTTAAAGCAGAGAAGTTGTGCATGCCAGCTGTTTGCCGTGACCGTAGACTTGTTCAGTTTGGAGTTGCACCTGACCAGTGAAAGCTACGACTTCAGTAAGGCTATACCTCTTTGAGCGATGACATTGAGAAGAAGTTGAGGGTCTTCCGCGAAGATGAAGGCATGAGACACAAAGAAAAGGTACCAAATTTGGGGGAGTTCATGTGTTTGCTCTCAGTCTCCGATGAGCTTACTTGGGATGAGCTCGCGGTTCCCATCTTGGAAGAGACTTTCGACCGTGGGGTTCTTTGGCTGGTCAAAGCGTATCCTCTCCTGGCGGACTATCATGCACCCGTGGAGGAAAGAATGGAGAAGACTTGGGAGACTGGCAACTGAGCTTGGACTTGCACAAGGGTTGGCCAACTCAAAAACCTATATACTCGTACTGTAAATTGAATTCAGGAGACCTTCTAGAACAAGCCAAGTTCATAGTTACTTTGTGTGTGTTGTGCGTTTTTGTGGGAGTTGGTCTGGAGTCAAGGTAGAGTATCACGTGAACTCTTGATGTTCCATGCGTGGTTTCTTCATCACATCGCTCACATCAAGCACGAGCATGGAGAGGGCATGTGTCGACGAGCAAGCTGTTTGCTTGAACGCTACGAGCGCACCAAAGGTTTGCCTTTGCATCTTAGCCTGCATCGACAGCATCGTTAGTTTATCCAGCTGATGGTCAAGCCCTGCCGTACTTTTGAAGTAAGGTCAGAACATGTCAGAACCAAGTAGGCATAAAGCTTTGACAAGGTATATGGAAACGATGGAAATGTGTGTGTTGACATGTCCATGATCATGAGGGTCCTGAATGAAGAGAAATTGGGTCAAGCTCAAGCCTTGGCCCATGGCAGCACAGGCAATCCACCGTCAGCGCCTTGCAGCAAGCTTGCCGAAGATTCCACGACATCCACACATGGCAGGACAGGCAAAAAGAAAAATATATGCTCCAATATCCACGAACCACCGAGTGAAGGTTGAGTTGATATATATATATATACATATATATATATATATTCGATCAAAGCCCGATACCGCTATGGTTGTTTGTATAAAAGGGGGAGGGAGAGAGTGTGTGTTTTACATCAGTTCATCAATGGTACGGAGGCACGACATGGCTTGACCATGCTTGACAGAAGAACAATGGCGTGGTTGGTTGAAGGCTTTCGCCAGTGCAGCTTCATTTTGAGTAAATGGCATTGAGAGGGTGTTTGTCAGGATGCTCTTCCAAGAGCACTCAATCTCACACCCACTTCTTTCACGATTCTTCAGTCAGTCCGAGACAGATGTATGATGTCACAGGGCTTGGTTGCAAATGGTTTCAAGAGATCTTGGGTCCAGCGCTTGGCCTCTCTTGCAGGACTTCTTTGTATCTATTGACGTGGAGCCCATGGAAGAGCCAGCAATTGGCCAATGGCTGCGACGGTGTGCCCTGCGGTCTCAGCGGAAGCGTTACCACCGTGGCCGTGGGCCCCGTTCCTAGGCGTTCTGAGGCAAGAGGTGGAAGACAGGCAGTTTTTGGCTCCAGACTTCCAGGGTTTCAAGAGAAGAAGACAAAGCCCAATTCTTGGTGAAGACCAATCTCGTATGACAGGTTACTTCCAGGAGGTTGTATAAGAAAATCCTGTGGAAGATGGATTCCTCTTTGTTTGGCAGCCTGCTGCAGCTTTTTGCACGGGAAGGCTTTTGCTGCCTTCCAGATCCTAGTGCTGCTGTTCAGTGTACAGACTTGAGCTGCTTGCCAATTGTACAGTCACCTTTCTTGAGAAGGATTGAGGAAGGTTTACAGCTAGTTTGGGCGAAGGCTGTTAAAAGGGCATTCTTGTACTAGCAGAAGTGGTGATAAATGGGAACGTTCGAACGGTTCACTTGCATACGCTTGCATTTGTTTTTTCTTTTTCTGGTGTGCTGATGTGTGCGTATATGAGTCAACCTCAAAATTATCGAAGACTACTTTAGTAAAGAGCGTTTCATGTGGCTAAGGGAATGTGAAGTTTCATTGAAAATCGATGGGGGACTTTAAAAGAAAGATGCCTCCTGCAATGCCACCTCCTAGGCATTCCATTGATTGGTCTTGCGGGGCCAATGCCTTAGAAGAATGAGGCAAGATTTTCACTTACAATACATCTCCAGATGCGGTCTCTGCCAACGAAGCTCCACACTGGATGATCAGGTAAACGTACCTGCCTACGTGGTGCACTGGGGCACATTATAAGTCGCAGCCGGTGGCCAATCCTTCAACTCATTTTGATCTACAGAGCATTACAGAGCGATTCCCACGTCCGCGCTTATTCCCTGATTGGCCCCGCTCGGAACTAGAACGAATTGGCTGCTTTTGCATCGCCACGCATTGTGCGAGTTGAAGTGGCTGTGAGCTTGAGCGTGAACTTAGCTGAATATGTTAAGCTGCTCAACACAAGACCTCCGACAAGAATGCCATTTTCAGCCAGAAAGTGTGGCAAAAAACGATACCCGAACGATACCCAAGAAGTCCCAACAGATACCCTTGTTGAGATATCGCCCACGTGGCCTTTGCCAGAGCTACCTTCGCAGCCATGAAAAAATCTGCTGTCGTGATTGCTGCGCTAAGACTACTTGTGAAGGAGATGCTGGCAGATGAGTCTCAGCCTCAGCGAAGTTGGTTGGAAGAGCTCAGGCGGCTGTTCCGGGTCAAGCAAAGCTTCCCCGCAGAAAACATGATTGCCTCCAAGCAAAGACACAGCGACTGAATACAGACGAGGGTATTTCTCTGAAGCATGCCGAAAGCGATGGGACCATGACATAGAGCCACTGGGTATCAGCGATGAAGCCGCGCTCACCAGGAGACAATCCGCCCAGAGCAACTTGCTACCTGGTGGAACAGACCAGCGGTTCACAGGCCAACCAGATCACCAATGTCTCATTGGCAAAAGAAAGAGAAGGAGCGAAAAACAAAGGGAGCGTTCAAAAGCACGGAAAGAATTGAAGCAAGCTGCTGTTGCCAGTTCAGACTCTTTGTTTGCAACCTCAACCTCCGACACTTCAGATTCGAAGTAGAAAAGGAATGCGGTTGGGTGGTGAAGGGGTATTGGATGGCATTGGAGAAGTGGAAGTCGCCCTTGGTCGGTGCCTGCACTCGAGGTATTTGTGTTGGGCAAGCGGTCTAGGATGGAAGGGATGGTGGCCAGGCTCCAACCACCACTCTACTTGGAATGTAGCCAGGGAAAACCAGGCTTCTGGCATCAAACAACACACACACGAGCTGGAGACATGTCATGGTGTGTGTGTGTGTGAGTGTTTGTATGTGTTCTTTGAGATTTGTTCTGGTATTGAGCCACGGCATGAAGAACGATAGGGAAGCCCACATGCACCTAAAGAAACCACAGACATGGAAAACGATAGGGGGCCCACTAATTCAAAACGAATACAACTTGAACAAGTAATTTTGACGCTGACACACATATAATATATATATATATGTTGAGGCAAGTGTCACGTTTTATTTTCGCACGTGAGGTCTCAAGCCCACCCGGCCGCATCAAGATCCATGAAAAATATGACCGGCTTGATGCATCCATGGCTCCACCTGGCTAGGCCCCACAAGCAGAAGCACCAATCGAGGAAGTCAAAACACGACACGCTGAAAAACATGAATTTACACCTTGGCGTCACTTTGAACAGATAATTTTTCAGAGGTCGTTGAATGTTTCCTTGCATGTGGCACCATGCCAAAAAGTAAGGCACAACGATTCGAAACTCCTTTTCAACGGCCAGAGCCACCCATTGGAGACATTGCACCCCTGTTGGGATCGCTACACAAGCCCGTTCAAGCTATTCTCAAAGATAAAGGAGGCCTTCCATGGTTCAATCATGTTTAATTTGCGAGCATGTTCATCTTGAATGGACATTGGAACATGTTGGAACCGTGACCCCCTTGGTTTTCGACCCCCTTCCCAAAACTGGGCTCGGCTACACAAAAACCAGCCATGGCCGCGCCAGAGACCGTCCGGGCAGCCGAGCTGAGTTGAAAAAACCTGCAGGACGCTTCCGTGTGCTCGGTGTGTTCCTTTGCTGGCGCTGAGGTCGACACCTTCCAGCATCAGTTCGAGTTCGTTTATGAGGAGGCCAGGGGCCGGATGGGCGGTATGTGGAACCGAAGGGAGGCAGGCAGTATGTGGCGGCTTCAGAGTCGCCGTCGAAGGTCCCCACCTGGTTGTTGGGAAGGTTTCACTATGTTTCACCTATAATTAGGAGGTGTCTTCTCATTTCTGTTCCAGCTTCTGGAAATCTGGTGAATTCTCCACATTCCATTCAACATGTGACGCTCCATCCGATGACGAGACCGTGATCCATGTGGCTCCTCAGGTTCCTGTGGCTCTCTATCGATGCACTGAGACTGGATTGCGAGTGGCGGCCGCGCAGGCGGGGGCGGATCCCTAGGTCCCAAAAGGTTTGAGAACCCGTTCTCAGTGCAGAGCAGTTCTCAAACCAGTTCTTTAAGCATAAAGCTGGCTATGAACTCATTATTCAAAAAGCAGTTCTCTCTAACAGAGGAGTCATTGTTGCCATGTGAATGACGGAGTGGGAGTCCTGCATTTGGAAAGAGGCAAGAATCAAGCGAAACATCCCAAATTCTTATGATTTGTCGAAGTCAGCTTAAAACTGGGAGACCGATCCATTTGCATATTCATCCTGTAGGTCAAGTCGCCGACCGTGCATGGTTACTTTACGGTGCAAACGGCTTCTTGGCATCATTGGATTCTCACGTGTGTTTGATCATTGCGGGCAGTTTGGAGAGAGCACCGTCGCAAAAGACTGGTGACCCGGAAAGCTGCTATGCAAGGCAAAGGGGTTCAAGATAGGATAGGGATAGGGATACGAGATGATATGAGGATGGAGGATATAGGAAGCGTTATGACGTGTATTTTGGGGCGCAGCTATGCAGCAAGATCAGCTCTCCTAGACAACTCAGGAAGCCTTTGACGATTTCGGATGCCCACACACTTTGGAACATTTGATCTTCCTTGGCAGCGAGCAGTACCCCTTCAAAGGCCAGGGCTTGAGATGTTTGAGACAACACGAGGACGCCGAAAAGTGCTTTGCTGTTCACTTTTTTGCACTGTATATGTATATATATAGACACATATAAATTGGTTGTTTCTGATGCTGATCGCGTGAGATAGCGCGCACAAACATTTGCTGTTTAACAGTCGCAGAGGTCGGGCTTCACGGCAATTTCAAGAGGCTTCAGGTGTAACAGCAAAGTGGTTGAAACCAGGTCTAAGCTTGGAGTTCTGGATGACTTGGAAGAAGACAGCAAAAGAGAACACAAGTTGTGCATGAAAAATTGTTGGGGTGGAAATCGAAGATAATCGAAGTTCAACTTACAGGCAACCATGCAAGCAAGGATGTTTTGTGCCACGAGTTTAGAGGGAGTGTACATCAATCTCTCTCTTTGTCCGAAGGTGTTTCTCTCGAACTTGTTACTAGTAGCGATGCCCTTGTTACTAGTAGCTTCTAGCTGCTAGTTGCCCTTGTTACTAGTAGCTTCTCTAGCTGCTAGTA